CCGCTTAATACTATCTGATCTCGTCTGATAAAGAAACAATACGCGTTAGGATGTCTGCAAGTAATGTGTTTATATTTATAACCCACAAGTAATTAGTGCACACGGACAGATCGACAGAGAAATGTCTGCGTTATATTTAGTAAGTAGACCAGCACCGAGCCGGGCGCAACTTCCTATTCAAAGCAGACCGTGCGATACCTAACTAATTGTTCTCTTGTGTCTCTTGTATCTCACCCTCGTTCAAAAAGATGGGTCAGCTATAATAAGTACATTAGCACTGGCAATTGGCACTGGCAAGCACTGGCAAACTACTGAGATCTTAGAACCTATATCTCAAGGTGGGTGGCGCATTTACGTTGTAGATGTCTATGGGCTCCAGTAACCACTTAACACCAGGTGGGCTGTGAGCTCGCCCATCCACATAAGCAATAAAAATAAAAATAAATTGTGTTCGGTTCAAAAGTAATCGCCCTCCGGCCGCCTGCATGGTGTTCACAGTCCGGAAGCAATAGGCAATTCCATGAACAACTTCTGATTAGGTATACATAAACCTAGTGCTGTTTCGCACCTAACGACAATAGCTACTTGTTGACTCTGAGTCGCAGATCCGAAGGAGTGAATATTGTTCAGTGAAATCGGTGGAACAGAGACATCCTATCTGTCATTAATCACTAATATAAAGTGATTGAAAGTATAATTTGATGCCCCATAGCACTTTGATGACCGTTTAAGATGAGGTGGACTGCGAGTGGGCTACGAATAAATAAATACATGTTTTCCTTCCAAACCAAACCTCATCACAAACATAACGCATACTACAGGACAAACCATTCGCGCAGCATCCATCGCTCGACGCCTTCCTAAAATAACACGAAAATCCAGAAAAAAAAAACATAATATTATGAGCACAAACAACTTGACTACTTTGTTAGGAAATTAAGCTCGCTGATTGACACGACCAAAACGCATTACTACAAATACTAATTAAAATGTTTTAGTTTTGTTACGCTTCGTTATATTGTTTTCAAAATATTATTAACTTAATTTTGAACACGTGACAGACGAAGTGTGGATCGTAAACTATGGAACAAACACATCTTGAAATAACATGCGTTACTATTGATGTATTGAACCGAACATTGTAACTCATCCCTACTCATAATATCAAACTGTAACAACTCCCAACAATAACAAACTGTATACTTTCACTCGAACAATTTTGATTCTGATCTAACTACTTACATTCATACGTGAGTGTCTATGATGTTCTAAATGTTCGCTTTGCAAGTATGTTTGTAACATACATATGGGTGCGTACATGTGATCAAGCACGGTGACACAGCACGCGACAAGCAGTGCCGCCCTTGTTTCTTCGGGCAGCGTGCCGATTCAAATAATCCGCCCGAAATCTAAACCAGGACAGAATTGTGGGGTCCCACGGTCAACACTACAATCATACTCGCGGCGCCACCCTGAAGATGTTTACGACCAATGATGGTACGGTGGCCCGGAACACAATACATCGCCAACCGCTCATCCGAAGTACGTCCGGCGACGATGGCGGCGACGGCACTCATCCAGCCGAGTATGTCTGTCATGAGAAGCGTGCGTGAAGTCTGCCGCAACTAGATCCAAACCATACATTTAGTAGGCCGTCTAGATTGCGGCGAGAAGTTCCGATGATTATGTTGTTTTTTTTTTATTTTTTTTATTTCTTAGGTGGATGGACGCGCTCACAGCCCACCTGGTGTTAAGTGGTTACTGGAGCCCATAGACATCTACGACGTAAATGCGCCACCCACCTTGAGATATAAGTTCTAAGGTCTCAAGTACAGTTACAACGGCTGCCCCGCCCTTCAAACCGAAACGTAGCAGAAATAGGCGGGGTGGTGGTACCTACCCGTGCGGACTCACAAGAGGTCCTACCACCAGTTAAAGCAGCAGCCGCGAAGATGTGCCGCTTCAGTGCGTACTCAGCATGAGTTCAGCGTGAAACGAAACAGCCCTGTACTTACTGTAGCGTTTATAATTATTCTATATAAAGGTAATGTTGGTGGAGCTAGTAATAATGCTCGTGATTGCTTTAATTTTTAATAGCGTGATAGATCGGATGGCTGGCATATAGACAGCTGAAGCGACAATCCTGTCACGTATATACATAATATCTACCGTCGCATATTCTTCCTGCGGCATGATGACTTTCTTACATAATTTGGGGCGTCTAGTATTATTCAATATTCTATATCTGTACACTCCAGCGACACTCAATTATTCATCTTATAAATGTATCTCCACAAATACATTAATTATAAAGAAGAGACACTATTTCAAATCACAGTAGTTATAAATTAAAACGGTTTCCGCGGCGCTAGATGTAGTCTAGATCCGCCGGCTCTTTGAGATGCGCATCACTAATTTATTACATTGCTGACGTCAAACATTTTATCAGTTTAGTTTCTTTTATAATTATTTACAAATTGGAACAGACTTGAAAGTTTAAAGTCTTGTTATAAATTTTAAAGTAATAAATCATACGTAAACTAAACCCACGCATATCTGAAGAGAATAAGTTCTAAATAGTCCAGTCGGTTCACAGTTCTAATTATGTTAATCTATATTTAATACTTAATACTCGGCCAGTAAACATCTAAACTTGTGAAGTTTTATGTACTTTCTGTTTATTTATTTGCGTAACGACTTAGATCAGTGAACGAGCTCACAGACCACCTGACCAATAGTACACACGGCGCCGCCCACCTCGAGACGTCAGTTCTAAGTCTCGGTCCTGTAGTACAGGGACTGCCGCGCTCTTCGGACCTAAACTCATTACTCTTTTATTTAATTAAATCTAATTAACTTGTCTTAAGTACTTATTTGGTTGGAAAAATTGCTGCCTATCGGTTAATCGAAAGATCAGTAAGTAATAACTGTAATGAACAATGAGCAATGTCAAACACAGAGTTTCTTATACGTGGCCACAGCGCTGCGAGCACCATCAAAACTTTCCGATAAATGAAATCCACAACAATACGCACCTACACTTTAATTAGCTGCTAATAAGTTGTCGTCGTCCCGTCGCCGCGACGCGACCGTCTCACAACTGACTCGCCATTGTTCTCTTTACTAGAACTTACTTACGTCCAATTGACTACTTGTCGACAAGCACTTGTAAACAAGACTAATATAATTTAATTATCTACAAAGCTAATTATATACACAGAATGTTCCGAAGTTAGTGAAGTGTCGGCGAAACGATTTCGAGGGAGTACGACACTATTAGCCTTGGTATAGGTAGCGGTATGTTACCACATTTAATGTGATAAATAAGTTTATTAGCGTATCGGTACGCCAACCCATTGGCCATCAGGTGTGGTCACCCGAGCCCGTAGAGCCATCAGAACGGTGAAGGCGCGCCGCCCGAGTTCGGAGTTCGACGCGACGCGACGGTAGGTTGTCGCTACCTGTTCCTCGTTCAGTCCCTTAGTCTTGGAAAGGTGGGTGGATATGAATGTGAGTGCTACCCAACCCCGAGGGACCTTGTGAATCTTTTAAAACGTATATTAAGTAATATATTATTTTATTACAACAAAGAATGCAATCCTCTTTTTGAATTTCTATTGTTTTGATAGTTCACTAATAGTCTCGTCTCGTTCATAGTTCAATTTTAATGATCCCATCATGAGGTCCAAGATTCGATTGTTATCCACTCTTTAACTATTGTTTAGCCATCCTGCTTTTCAACCCGGAACGCCTTACTATGAACAATATATTATTCTAATCAAGTTTGTAACAGTAAGAAAATGCATAATTGAAAAACAACGCACAAATGTCAAATAATGAAGAAGAAATGAAGGACATGTGAATGGAACATGAAAGCTCTCAACAAAGTCTCATTGAAGTGAACGTTGTACCTCAGGACATTCACTCTCAGTGCTGTAATCAATTTACCGACGGTAGTTATCATTCTGCCCGTTCTTCTGTAATGATAAGATACGCCGACTGCCCCACCGCGAGTGAAGATGCCGCGGACAACGACCCGAGACCGAATTAACTTCGCACGTCGCACCACAGCTGATTACTGGCGGTCCGAGAGCCGGACATCTCAAACATTACAGGATTCTATACCATGGATGCTAGAGTCTTCAGTGCCACCAATTCAGTGCTTAGTAGCATGTGTTGGTATAGCACTTAGGTACGTGGCTGTGGATCTCAGAATTACATTTGTGTTACAACATCACTAAATTGTTTCCTGATTACCAATCATCAATATTCTCAAAGACTACAAGCTGTGAACGTGTTTCAGAAGGAATCGACGTGGACTTGAGGCGCTAACTTTAGGATAAAGCGTACTGTGTACTCGTATTAACCGATGCTATTATACCTGTGCTCAAAACCCCCAGATAAATATTAAGTTTTCCAACGAAATACGCACTTAAAATCAGATGGGCCATGAAGCATAAGTTAATCCGTTTACGAAAAGAGAAATGGTAAACTATTATAAAGGTGCACCAATTTACAAAATACAATAATAGTTTCTAAGCTCTTCAAGCTCTTACACTATTATAACTGAAACACGTTACAAGTAGACCAAGATAATTAACATGTAAGTATATAGTGTAAGTTACCGATTTAAATGTTTTGCTAAAAGTATAAATCTAAAGTTAATCCCAGCTTACGATTACAATTCTCAAACATGAGTAGCTCGCTGGCTCCGGGTCTACATTTTTAATGAAACCGAAGCATACATATTTGTGAAATGAAACGTGAATTATAAAAATGTACTGCAAGGTCAAAGACCAGCTAAATGGGGGCTGACTGCAAACAAACGAGAACCGACAGCACCACATTAATAATGTCTTAAACACACACACACACACACAACTATACTATGAAGAACGTTCAGAAATGTACTCACCAACTCCTTCACAGATTTATTGAGTCTTGAACACCTTACATAATATGTTATGTTACAAAAACAATACAAATGACGAAAATTATACCTATTTTAACATTTTAACAGTAACTTGACTTTCCTTAATGTTTCTATTATCCTTGAACTGACCGTCGACAAAGTAATCTTCTATTTCTTGAAGCGTCCTGTCTTTGGTCTCCGGTAACGTGAAGTACAAAATTGTTAAATTGAAGGCCATGACTAAGCCGAACACTGCAAATGTCCCGTACACTTTGATACTCACTAACAAATACGGTGTCAAAAGTAATGCCAGATTCACGCCCAAAGATATAAACACCCCAGTCACAGCTGACCCAACACCCCTGTGTTCCAATGGATATAACTCGCCCAACAACGCAACAGGGATCGGACTGCAACCTAAATTGGCAAGGATGAAATACATCACAAATAAACCGATGGGAATAAAGTGGTAATCTTCAGATATGAATCCTCGTGCCACTAAGAACAAATATGTACAGACGACCATCAAAACTGAGCAGGCAGCCAGCCCGGTGGACAGCAGCAACGTGCGCCTCCTCATCACATTAACGAGGATTGATGAGCACACGGCACTGACCGTTATGATGGCGTCAATACATAGCGTGTAGTAATAAGATTGAGATTTACTTCCAGTTATTTCGCTAATAATCTGCAAAGCGTAAGCGGGAAATATATGCCGCCCACTCGCTTCCAATAAAACAGTGCTACTCAGTAATATAAACATCGGCCCTAAGAAATTCTTTTTTGTGAATTTCTTGAAAAACTCTATCAACTTTTGTCTCAAACTTAGCTGCTTAGTAGTTTGAGATGCGCGACTCATTTGCGACTGTAGCATGTCTTCTAGTTCTCTCTGGGCCTCTGCAGCGTTTCCCCTTAGATAATAAAAGTTTTTTTCACATTTTTCATAATTCTGTTTCGACGCTAACCATGCTGGACTTTCTGGCCACGTCCAAATAATGGCCAAGGAGATTATATAAGGGGTCATGGCCTGCATCGCTATGGTTCTCCAATCATAAAAATGGCCCAAAATGTGCACAAACATCCCTCCTAAGCAGACTGAAGCAGTTTTCAAAGTTAAAAACATTCCTCGGTATTTAGGGCTGCTGTATTCTCCAATAACGATAGCTCCTAAGGATACGGTGGCTCCGGCAGACATTCCTCCTAGAAGTCTACCCATCAACAAAACTGGAACGGTATTGCCGGCATATATTAGCAACCATCCAAGTAGCCCCGGTACCATCAGGATAAAGTGTGCTATTCTTCGCCCATATCTTTCCATCAGTGCGGACGATATGAAGAACCCAGGTATCCCTGCTATGCCGATTGAAGATGCTGAAAATATATAAAATACACATTCAATACATTTTAGTGTTCTTAATATTTTAACACTAAATTTTGGTACCATCGTTACACGCACGTCGCAAAGTGACTAAGTCAAACAGTTAACTGATTTAATTTTGACAGCCACGAATAAGCTATCTGCGATCCTCTATTACGCGTAGTATTCATAATAAATATAACTAAATGTTTTATCTACGACCCGCAAAATCCATTGTCTACGATAAACACAACAAATTTCAGAGATTACTTTTATATTATCAGGCTATCAGAATTAATAAATTCTTCAATACGATTAGCATCTAAACTATTATGCAGACCTCAATATAACAAACATTAGAATAGTTATAAATATCGTGCAATGAGGTTATCAATAAAAATATAGGTAATGGTTATGACGCAGTCGATGAGCGTTATCTAACGCAAACCAAAATCAATGCATACTCTCGGATTGTTTGTTTTAATTAATATTTATTTGTAACAATGTTTACTAAACTTCCGATAAATACTATAAATGCTTACAACAGTAACAATTGTTATTTCTTGTCATTGAAGTATTTTAATCATAATCATAATTAAATTATTAATCGTAAAACGCGTGAAACAAACAAAATCGTGTAAACAAAATACAAGAGTGGGCTTGCTTCTGGGAACAGTGATCCTATTGAGAGGGCATAATGGCATCCCCAGTGAGGGTCATGGAGCGACCGGAGGGATAGAAGCCGTGTGGTGCGCTGCCCAACAAAACAACATTAGTCAAAAAACGATCGGTTGGCGATGTATCGCGTTCCGGTTCCGGACTGGCTCTGAGCCAACGAGGTATTCCGAACCACAGCCGCGCCGCCCGGGGCTGGTCTCACTGGATACCGTACCGAGACGGTCGACGTAGAGTCGTTGATTCGCTTCCACTACTCGACGTCGACCGTGGGCTGCAGGTGGGCTGGGCGTTTTGGGGTTGAGCGAGAGTACGTGGCAGTCGTTTAGTGGGTCGTATCCAACATCTTCGCAGTCTCACAAATAATGCGCGTCTGGTGCGCGACCACCTCAATGGAGGATCTGATCAGGTACAAAAAAGTATTTTGCGACAGACAGCTTAGGTCTGAAATCGTAAGACAGAAAGTAAATTATACCGTTTTAAAAATTTGTTGTTTGCAAATATTGACTACTTTGCAGTCTTGTGCGATGTAGACAACCAAACTGCAGCGGTGGCATTACGCAAAGTAGTTATGGAATGTTGCTGTACCGAGCTATTGAAATAAAAACTGAATCATCTGTTTATGGCGGAGCTGTGTGTGTATCTAAGGGTAGGAAATAATTCACAGAAATCCGGTCCTAAGGCCAATTGTTTGTTTGCTCGTGAAATTAACAATGTACCTATACACCTATTCCGCATATTTTAAAAACTTTTTAATGAGAAAAGTTTTATAAAAAGCGCACTGTCTAGTAGCTAACTCATAATATAAAAACGAAGCGAATCTCAAAAATCAAACCTTTTTTAGGCCTTTTAGCTCTTAAATATGTCTTTGGTTCCCATAGTACGGGGAATCCTAAATTTGGGACCGGATGACTTGTTCCCGGTTGTTATTATTATTATTTAAATGAGCTTTGTGCTCAAATCAAAAATATATAGGATTGTATTAGGTCTATTAGATAAAAGACCAAAATTTAATAATTAAATGAATGACGACTGTAATATACAATGCTACATGTAATAGAAAAAATAACGGTGTTTTATTGTTAACAATATTTTTGACGATGTGCAAGACCAATCACGAGAGCCACCAATTGAATTTTCTTCAGAATACACTGTTTGCACGTTAGATTGCCTTACGGTCATGGACCCCGCGGTGTATATCCCTAAATGCGTAGCCATTACCAGAGAACTATTCAACAGAACAGAGTCGGGCTAGTGGTTCTCCGGGGCAACGTCACCGCCTCGCTTCCCGTACAAAGACACGACTATTTTTTTAAATATACTCACATAGCCACGAAGAAGTTTGCAAGTCAATTGGTATAGGAGAGTCAGGTGCCTGTAGAGCTGGAAGAAGGCTGGTGGTGTAGCTCAGGAGCATTCCGTGACCAACCATATTCAATAGCACTGCAGACACTGCCCATGACTAAAAGAATATACATAATATTTTGAAAGTTTGTTTGAATTACTTATGGGCTAGCACCTAGTAGAGAGGTCCTCCATCCGTCCTCCCATACTGTATTTACATGAACTATGAGTACTTGCGCGTTTGCAGACATTCATTTGTACTACACATTACTTTTTCGTTTATCACGGAAGTGGTCCGCGAAAGCCTTTTAGGTACGTAATTCCTTAGAAAAATGGATTTTGTACATCAGGATAGGCATAGCAGCATCACACATTGTGCGCTCAGAATCGGGTAAATACGATAATTATTCCAATTTATTAATTAACTTAATATCAACGTACTACAATAAAGTTAAATACCTGCTTGTATAATGGAGTCATGTCGCGCCTGTCTGCCGCTGACTGGTGTGACTTGTGGAGGAGTGCGCGCCGCGACCACCTCACGAGGATTATTGTTTATTACTCCACAATTGCGTGTAATCAAATAGAGCCTGATAACTGTTTTGCAAACACAATGTACGAGCGTATACTGGGTGTCTGGTCGTTATCACGGGTGGTGGGGCGTACCGTGCAGTGGAGACATCGACGTTGCCGGTGTGTCGCCGCTCTCACGGTACTATGCCAGTGCTCGCACCCCGCAGGCGGGTACTACCAATGCTTCAAATTATATACGTACCCAGCACGTGTTCACGAATAACTCCATGGTGATATGAAAACATGATGCAATAAACATCAAATTTTGAAAAATTATGATTTGCTTAAATACAGCTAGGGTGTCTTTTGAGCCTGTGCAAGCTACTACCCTGCTTATTTCTGCTGCAAAGCTGGAATGCGATAGCCGCTATACTATACAATTGAGACATAGACCACATGTGAGGGTCGCTGGACTCTCAGTGTGAAGGCTAATTACGATAACGAAGATTTGAGTTTCCTTCTGTAATCGCATTCAAAGCGAGGTTCGGCTCTGAACTTGCCCTCACTACCGACTACTGCCGACACTGCGTCCTACCGACGATATTAGAGAAATAGAATGATAATAGTCTCGCCAACTATTATCATCTCCTCTCATGTAAGATCGTCATGAACGTAACGATAAAATAAACAGTGATTATGTGTCTTATCTCGAACCTGCTATTGCTTGTTTTTGCTTTGACTAAACACATTCTGGTTACACAAGCCCATCATATTATAATAAAACGTAACGTTTGTTTTGCAAACGGCTCGGATCATTTCAGTTTTATATTAGAAAAATAACATTCGCACTTGTCATTTCCTTATCTCGAGTCTCCAGATGAATGTCTCAAATTAGAAAAAATAATAATTTTCGCTAGCTTGGTTTTTATTGGATGATGTTATCCCTTCATCGTGGAAATTATTTGTGAACATAATATATCGAGCACGTATTTCATTTAAAAATTTAGTACCCGCCTACAGGATTTGAGTACCGACATGGTCTGATCGATCGATACTAGTAGGTACACCGGGCGTCGTACTTACCTTAGGCCACGACGACTTCGGCTGTTGTTTAAGCGCGTTTGTTTAAATATCGCTCCAAGGAGACAAGAAAGACCCGGAGTGGCGGAAGCGGTGCGGAGGGAGAGCAGTCGGTCGTGTCATGTCTGCTGTCTGCATTACAAGCGGCAGGGACGTGCGCGCCCTCTCTCATTCTTCTACCAGCTACTTGACGCGACTTAACAGGAAGATAACCTACTTCAATAGCACTATTATTAACTGTATAACTCTATAATCTAATCCGCTTAATGACATAGTTATTCTCTGTGGTATTTTATTTGGGTTGAGTAGATAGTTGATATACAGCATGGATTGTAACCCCGAAAACTGTTACGGGAAAATATACCACTCGCATTAACCATTAGTGATTTAATTATATTTACTGAAGTAACACTGAACAAAAGAACAACATTATCGTTTAGGGAAGATGATTGGTTGAATTACTTGTGAATGTACCATATTTTATGTCGGGCTCGTGTTGACAGTTGGCAGTTGTCCCCTGTGACCGAAATCTCCGCGAGCATCCGAAGCTTCACAAAAGTTAATAATAATAAATTATATACCCGACCCAGGCGACCCAGGTGACGGAGCAAAGCCGCCGTCGCCCAAGACATATTTTGTTGGATCCCCCGGATCCACTTTCGGTTTTTTAGGTCTCTGAAGCACCGGTCACCGTCCTCGTCGACCTCGTCGACTCCGACGAAGAGTTCGACGTGCGAACTAGCCCGTAGGCACAACCCACTGAGTTTCTCTCCGGATCTTCTCAGTGGGTCGCGTTTCCGATCCGGTGGTAGATTCTGCGAAGCACTAATCTTCCTGAGGATAGTTTTAGCAACTCTCTGAGGTTGAGCCCGTGAGCTTACCTACCTGTCCGCGTGAAGTTGGAATAGGCCATTGAGCTACTAACGATTAGGTAGGGGGAAAAACGTCAACAGACCGTGGCCGTGTTCCATTAGCGAATAATATTTTTGCACTTACATCAAAATGATGCAAATCATTACTTTAATAGTCACACCTTCAAATTAAGTTAAAGTTGTAATTTCTTTTAAATAACTGAATGATCTATATTCGAATCACTGCAACAAACTAAGACAGCGTTTTACAATGCACTTGTCCTTTAGGTCTGCGGTCTTTTAAGCAGGAAAAAAGATATAAATATTGGTTTCAGAACTTCATAGTGTATACTGACCTCATCTTAATTACCTAGTCTTCGATAGCACTAACTGTATAAAGATCAGATCGCATTGATGTGTCGCCTCAGATTCAGGCCGCGGCAGTCCTTGCGGAATCACAACATGCTCTAACGAAAACGAAATTGAGTCATGAATATGTCAAAGTAAATTTATGAACAGTTAAATTTAAGATAAACAAAAATAAACACTTGTTGAAAACCAAAGATAGTTCAATGACCCCACGTCCACACAAAAACGCAAACTATCGCTACGACCTCACTCACACGACTACATCCGACGTGCATACGTTAAAGTACGTTGAGACATGAACAGCACACAGCACGCTGCCACGAGGAGCGCCTCTCCACGACAAGGTCGCTGACGATCGCAGTACGGCCCATCGACTGTTGATTGCTTACAGGACATGTCGGTCCGCGATGTTAATGGCGCTGCCACCCTTGAAAAATGTTTTTATTGTTCTGCTTGTTTGACGATTTTACAATGAATTTCCTTTAGTAAGTGTAGATTGAGACGCGGTATCTGGCTTAATTTATTCATTAGCTTCTACTGACAGATATCACCTATCGCTCACAGTATTCATGTAGCAAGTAGATTCACCTTAGGAAATGGAGAAATTTAAGTTGAATGGACTTTAGAAAAACTGGACACATTATTGTGCCACTTTAAACCGGTACCTGTGGTTGTTTCACGACACAAATAGGCAGAAAGATGGTGATGGATATTCATTTAACATCTTGATATAATGACACACCGTTGCCTTTAAAAATACTACATCAGTCAATTGCTCTACTCATTAGTATATAGCTAATAACAGCGATCGATGTAGTATCGATGTATCAATGTGCTCACTGTGCTCACAGTACTCAGTTTACTCCATTTCGGAGAGCGACACGCCACGCGTTCAGAGCAAATCAACGCACACTAGGACATCCTTGACATTATTCGGAAACGAACACATTACACCTGCTGGTGGGATTCCTTACCTGATAATACAACAAATACATTAGAAATAATGTTTTTGCAAATATAATACATTAGACGCAATGTACTTAACAAAATCCAAATTCAAATGATTCGCTCGCGAGGTCAACGGCACTGAGAGGATCGAGGCACCGAGGACAACTCCAACTTTGCGATACATTGCGCGCAATGTCAACTTATTACAATGACACTTAGCTTACTAAATTCTTCTTAAGTTATCCCCTTTCTACTTTTAGTACATACAGATATTTAGAACATAGAGACACGCCGGATTTTACTGTTTTATTATATTATTTATTGCTGTATTAATTCAAATAACTGTACAGTCAGGTGATTATCCTCCATTAGAGCAGTAGCAGGAAGATATAATTAATGTTCCGTTCGACTCCGGCCAGTGATTTTATCAATACATTTAATTGGAAAGGAAACGACGTCACGAGATAATGAGCATAATGATGGAGCGATTATGATCATATGAACACTGTTTATCTGGTTAGTGCCGAAGAGAGCGGCTGTGGGAGATTTTACATATGATATTGTTGTCGTTAGTGGTAATCCTTCTGGTGACCGATCGCTCTGGTGGTACGGAACCACCCAGTCTGCGCAACAAAGAAGATTAAAAACAGCAGTGACATTGTTGGTGACCAAAGTTCAAAGAATGGATGAAATTAAATAAATATAATAAAATGCAATATCCGGGATTCAGTGCTATCTTTACATAAACTAAGGTCCAGAGCTGCTCGACCGAGACATTAAGGTACAAATATTAGCTAACTATTATGTCTTACGATGTTCCTCTAAAATTTGCGAGTGATCAAATATTAACTTTGTTTATTGTTTCAGCATTGTTTACACGGAGCCTTATTTAATAACATTGTTTCTGCTCCGCTACCTGCTTTATGAAGAGAATGAACTATCGCTGAGGTGATTTTGAACCGGTTCAGACTTGATCTAGTTCCTCGGTGACATGCATGTGCCACAATTCCAAGGTCACAGGTTTCAAACTAGCCACGTAAGTCTTTTCGTTATTCTGGAAGCTAAAATACTTTATAGATGTAATATGAAATAATTATATTTGTTGCTTCAGATGGGCTTAGATGGGAACGAGCTCATGGCCTTCTACCCATGCACGTTCACAACACACGATTTTGTTTGAAGCTTTATATTTTTTCTACAGATTCTCAATTAGTACTAAATCAAGCACATTTCCCTTACAATTTTTATAATGGAGATAAAAGTTCATAGAGGGTGTAATTCGTAGGGTTCACTGATAAAAATCATGACGCAAAAAAAAGCATTCTTCAGCAAAAAGCATTTGTTAATGGTTAAGTCAAAAGAATCTTGACTTAACCATTAACAAATGCTTCACCACCGTTGTTTACTTTAACACTTAACGGTCAATTAAATACTTCTAAATAAAACTCTGCAAATACTAAGGAAACTCAGATGCGAAACTTCAAGTTAAATCTATTAATAATTTCTTGATTCTCAAACGCTGGCATCAATGGATGAAATATCTGAACACGAAATAATAAAACTGAAATAATGAACGCGAGACTAAACTACAAAGAGGTTGAAGTCGTTACGTTGACACACGGACGCAGCTCCCGCAAGCCTCACTGAGTGCTGCTTACTTGTCTAACGCTTATTCTATGTATATATTCACATTTCATCTGACATTTCGTTTCATTCTTTTCTAAACCACCTGAGTACATAGTTAATTACTTATTAGTTACATAGATAGCTAAATACGTAATACGTAA